AAGGATAACAGGGGGGGGGGGGGAGGTAGAAAATATTAACATATAATTCGGTAAATTAATTACAATTTACTCTTGCCCACTGTTGTTTCGGCCAACGGTCATTCGTTAGGTCGAGACGTGTTGATCTTGATAACTTGGTGACCTGTATGAGTAGAATAGTTGACCCTCCCCAAAAGCAATTTTATTTCTCGTTTTCGAGAAGCGGCTTGGCATTTCCTGGTAATTAGGGCACGCGAATTACATATAATCTGCGGGTCACGGAATCGAATCCCGTTACCGACCACATTCGTCCTTTCGGCATTAATTAACGGTCAATCCCACTATTCTTTGGTAAAAAGGGGTCCAGGAATAGGCGGTGGTGGTGTTCTCCCACTAGTCTATCGAGCAGCTTTGCACAAAAAAAGTCAACAAACAAATAAACAATTATTTAAAATTTGTATTCATTTAAACACCAGGTGGCATAGTTATATTTAAACTATTACGTGTTATGACCATAATTTCATTTTATTTTTCTAACTAAAAATGTTTAGGCATTTTTTTATATTGATATTAATTCTTATTAATTTTAAATACTTACAATTTGCATTCATTTAAACTATCTCAACACCAGATGGCATAGTTACTTTTGTTTAAATTATACGTTTAGTGCCTGAGGAAGTTTTAGGTTTAGAAGTCGAAACGTCGCAATGAAAAAACAAATTTATGTAGTGAATGGCCAACTTCTTTGTTTGTTATTTAATTTTCATGCTAGACAATATTTTATATATTCATAACTCTCGTCAGTTTTAGAACTTCTTATCAAACCTCAGGAATAGTAAAATAGATATAATTTGTTTTATTTAGACACTTTAGTGCGGATTAGTATTTATGTGGCTCAGCGGCAAATCTGTAGGCCTATAACGCTAAAAACCTGGTTTGCATACCCATGGTGGGCACATTAGGTAGTTTTTGCGCTTAACAAAAAACGAACAAACTAGCATTTCCTCGTAATATATTATCGCCATCTGATTGGCTGACAGCAATGACAGATTACCATATTATACGTTTGCATGGTGTTTTTTTGATTGACCGAGAGTAATAAGAAAATATTATTTTGTAAGTTTGTGTTCTGTTTCGTGATTGGCTGACAGCAATAATTTTGTGTTAAGTCTTGTGATTGGGCTACAATTATTCTACCAGTTTTTCTATATTGCCCCAATAAACAGAATGTTTTACCAGAATCTTATTTGGCGCTGTTTCGAACTGGGAGGGGGGGGGTCTTTGTTTTAGTTTTTTTTTATATCTTTCGCATGTTAATTTCTCGTACGTGGTTTGCGAACCCATTCTCCGAGTTTTAAGGCTATTAGCCTTCTTAAAATCCTTTGTGTGTGTGTGCGAGTGCCTCCTTGCACTATTCCGAATTTGGTTGGGTTTGTTATGAATTTCGCGCAAAGTTACACGAGCGCTATCTGCGCTAGCCGTCCCTAATTTAGCAGTGTAAGACTAGAGGGAAGGCAGCTAGTCATCACCACCCACCGCCAACACTTGGGCTACTCTTTTACCAACGAATAGTGGGATTAACCGTCACATTATAACGCTCCCACAGCTAAAAGGGGCAAAATCTGTGGGTCGCGGGTTCGAATCACCGTCACACCAAACATGCACAAGTCAAGCGCCCTAACCACCTGGCCATGCCCATAACTGGTTCTTTTATTCTTATCAAGAAGTAAATATGTTTAATTTCAGATTCTGTTATCATTTGTTATGACATTGGCCATGCAATCAGCTGTTGTTTGTAAACACAAACAAGCTTATAGCTAACTTTATGTGACCCTGTTGGCTGCTATGACTCTGATATTTTAATTTTAATTGGCCTAGACTAGTGATGTTATATACACAGTAATACATTTTTAAACTATATTTTGTATAGAGCCAAATATTTGTTACTGAGAAACTTTTCCAATGTTTACAAGTTTAAATTACAAAACTGGATATTGATTATTAGTAAATTCAGGCTAGCTAGAAATATTTTAGCAAATATGATCATAACTTAAGTTGCATTTAATGAACTACTTTCTGTATGACACAAATCTGCAAGGGCTGCCTTATTGATCAGAGGTCTCCATAGTTCAGTGGCAAGTTGTGAACATGTTTAGTTCAGCCAGCAAAATCATTTTGTTGATAGAAAAACAGTACAATTTATTCAATACAAATTAACTTTTATTGTTCAGTTTTGTAAACAAAGAATCAAGTTATGACATCAGCCCACTAACAGCACCCGTGAACTGTTTGGCAAGGGCCGTTTACAGCACCTTGTACATTTTTCAAATGTGAATGATTGATATTATCATAAAAAGCATTGCTTTAGAGGGTCCAATTGAGCATTTGTATCTACCTAAATATAAATGCACATGTATAGTACACATTCACTACATTTTTCATCCTTTGCATTTGCAACTAGAAAACAAAATAATGGAGGTTATACAGACAAAATACATGCATATATAAGAGGATAAAGTTTTTATTACCAACAAATAACAGTAAATAAATAGATGATGAAAGAAATCAGCCATTTCTCAAACAAATTGGGCAGAGCATGGTCTGGTGATTAGCGTGCCAAGCTGTAGATCAGAAGATCCAAAGTTCATGCTGCAATGCTACTGAACATGTTCTGCACTTTTAGCTGTGAATGTTTTATAAGTCACAATCAACTCCACTATTCAGTTCAAAGGTGGACAAAGTCCTTGTGACTGGCTACTTCATCTCTGGTCAGTAGTTAAAAATTAGAGATGGCTATACTAGCTGTTGAGCCCAAGCATTGCATAAGGTGCTATTCAGGTTGAAAATAACACCTCAAGCAAGTCTCTTAAAATGTACTACTTAACCATTATACAAGAAAGAACTCCAGTAGCACTATTTATTATATTTTTTTCCTAGCTGACAAGAAAAATCTTAAACAAAAAACTTTACTTCTTAATAAAATATTGTATGTTATGGAAATAAAAGAATAACTTACAATGAATGAAGTACTTAATTTAATACTCTTACATTTCCAATTGAGCAGTCACAGAAAATACTATATTTTACTCATGATAAAACTATCAAGAAGACTTAAAATAATTTTCTTTGGTAAATAAAAGACAATCATTTCACATAGGTTAGATAATACATTCACCTACAAAGAAAAGCAAGAACAATGCTTTAAGTGCTCTGAATTCATGAAAAAGTTGTTTAACAAAATACTGAGAAGGTAACTGTTATCATAAATTGAGTAATTGATAATTTTTTATTGGTGAAATATCCACATAAGTCATACTAAACTCCATTGTACACTTTGTACGACATAATTTCATACAGAAAACAATTTAAAAAAATGTTTTTAAAGTTTGGCTGCTTATTTTTTATTTGCTTGTAAATTATGTGTTAAACAGATTAGTTTGAATCACCCAAGTATCAAACTTCTTAAGTCATCATTACTAACTGAATAATGATCATCCCACCACATGCAGTGTTAAACAGATTAGTTTGAATCACACAAGTATCAAACTTCTTAAGTCATCATTACTAACTGGTTAATGATCATCCCACCACATGCAGTGTTAAACAGATTAGTTTGAATCACACAAGTATCAAACTTCTTAAGTCATCATTACTAACTGGTTAATGATCATCCCACCACATAGTGTTAAACAGATTAGTTTGAATCACACAAGTATCAAACTTCTTAAGTCATCATCACTAACTGGTTAATTACCATCCCACCCCATGCACTAGACATACAACTGAAAATAACAAAAAGGCAAAGGTACCTAAATTATGATACATTGCACTGTGATTATCACAGGTTTTAATTTCCTTGTGTATTGATTTATGATATAATGTGCTTCTAGTGAAACAAAATTGGCTTCATTGGTTTACAAGCCAATTATTAGTTAAGATCTATATAGCTTAATTTTGATCAGAAGTTAATGATAATGAGTTTGACATCTAGAGATTTGTTACAACTGAAACTAGATTTTTATTTACCTCAATAACAGATGTATATAAAACTGAAATAACAGATTTTATAACATATACTTACAAACGAAGTAGAGCTTTATAAAAGGGCCGAGTAAAAAAGGCATCCAAAAGGTACTGATGCACTAAAGTGAGGCCCAGAACTCGTCCACTGAACCGGAACCACTCATGTTGGTTGTCCACAAAGGCAGACATAGGGCTCACCTGTACTGTGTAGGTATCATTTGCAGAATATTCAAACAAACCATAGTAAGGGTTGAAGAGTTCTCTGGAGAGTAGGAAGAAAAACTCTCTTGATGGACCTCCATAGTCCAACCTAAAAAATGGACAACAGTAAGTGTGATATTAATACAATACTTAACACAAACCAAATTTAATACTGTGTACTTATTACACACACAGAAATAAGATTACAAACAAGCTGTAATAATTTTCTTTTTCATGGACATCTACAGTCCTTGTTTGACTTGGGATGATTTTTGGGCTTTATTCCAAGTCCTTCATCAATATCAGAGGTGTAGGAAGGATTTGCAAAGTGAGGGTGCTTGGCTAGAAATGCAGATTTTACAATTTACAATGAGAGATTGAAAGCATAAGAAGCTTCTAAAAGCAGTTCCAAAGATGGCAAAGGGAGCTCAATCTGAGGGAGGGGTATATAATATAATAATTTACAGTTACTATACAAGTCCAATATGTAAACGTGTTGGTGTTATAGCACCTCCGGTTGCGACACCTCTGAGTGCAGTGCATGAAAGATTGTCTTTGAATCTAACAATTGCAGGAGAATCCCAAGAAATACAATATAAACATTATAAATACACTACCTAAGACTCTCCCCCCCCCCCTTTAAGAAATTCTTATTTTTTTGTTAGTTACTGAAATATTAGAATATGGATAATAACAACTAGTGTTTAATGAAATACTGGATGATAATGTTGACCTCTTTGTGTTCTGTATAAATACAAATGTGGGTAATATGAATAAATGTTGATTGAAAATACTACATGATGCTGTTGATCTTTTAGTGCTGTATGTGTGTTAATACAAGGATGTGAGGGATAACAGAATATTTACTGATTAGTGCACATCACTGTTAATCTTTTAGTGGTGTATGTGTGTGTTAATACAAGGATGTGAGGGATAACAGAATATTTACTGAAGCATGCGCATCACTGTTGATCTTTTAGTGCTGTATGTGTGTTAATACAAGAATGTGAGGGATAACAGAATATTTACTGATGCGTGCACATCACTGTTAATCTTTTAGTGGTGTATGTGTGTGTTAATACAAGGATGTGAGGGATAACAGAATATTTACTGAAGCATGCACATCACTGTTGATCTTTTAGTGGTGTATGTGTGTGTTAATACAAGGATGTGAGGGATAACAGAATATATACTGAAGCTTGCACATTACTGTTGATCTTTTAGTAGTGTATGTGTGTTAATACAAGGATGTGAGGGATAACAAAATATTTACTGAAGCATGCACATCACTGTTGATCTTTTAGTAGTGTATGTGTGTGTGTTAATATAAGGATGTGAGGGATAACAGATTGTTTATTGAAGCATGCACATTACTCTTGATCTTTCGGTTGTATGTGTGTTAATACAAGCATGTGAAGGATAACAGAATGTTTACTGAAACATGTATATTTCTGTTGATCTTTTAATGGTAATTCAAACAGGTATTTAATAACAGAACACTTGATTAGCAAAAGCTTCGCAAATCAAGATATTACTGAAAGCATACTATGGGTGGTGAGAAAAAAAGTTGTTGTTTTTTTCTTTGCCTATTTGTTAAAAGGAACATTGGATTATTTCTGGCACTTTATTCTTTGTCTTAAGCTAGTATGTAGCATTAAGAAGGCCAAACAGTAAGTTAAGGCATGGTAAACTTGTCAGTCAAAAACACAACATCTCAGATATATCACATTCAGACACTGCTAAACTTTGGGTACAAATCTTAGGAGAAACATTTTCTTTACAAGCTTATCTACAAGTCCAAATTAGAGAATTAGTCATGTTGACATATTGGTATCTTTAAAGATAATAGATATTGCTTCCTTTTACATTACTGGAAGTATAAAATTTTATATACATTGTATAATGTTATAAACAAAACAGTGATGCTCTATAGTTTTTGTTTTTCATACATGTTTTGTAAAATATACCTTTGTTTATTTTCTTCTAAATCATGCAAGCTGCCAAAACAATACATTAGAATCACATGGCAATGAAGGGTTAAAATGGCATAAACCAGTGATATTGAAATCAAAATTCCAAAGTTATACATGAAAAATAAATATGTTAAACTTCACTCTCGAAGTGGCAAAATGTAATGAACTGAAGAAAAAAAAATCTACTGGTCTTTTTTTTAACTCTATTTAAAGAATAATATGATACACTCAATCTTGTGTCTTTATCAATTAATTAATACAGATATTAAGATACAAAGAAAGCTTTCAATAAAATAACTTCATCAATATTTCACGTTCATTTATGAAGCCACTTACCCTTCCTCTCCAGAAAAACTGATGTAAAGTCGTGACTTCTGTAAGTCCTTTTTTGAAGTGGCAATGATTTTTGTGAAGGCATCTTCTAGTAAATGATCTCGTCTTATGTTAAGCCTATACCAGTAATGATACAATTAAATATAATTTGTTTTCATGAAAAAATAATGCTTCAACAAAAACAGTAACCATTCAACTTGAATTCTATGTCACTTAACACAATATATACAGTGCTACAATTGTTGTTTTAAAAATGACACAGAACCATATTAAGCAAAGTGGCATATTCTTTCAAACTGCAATTTATTTTAAATTTACTATTTTGTCCCAAATTCACTTATATTTGTAAACTTATTACTGTGTTAAAAGACCATATCAAAATACCTTGCTATAAGATTAACACAACAGTTGCACACAAAACATAGGTATCATCGTTTCATTATGTAATAATTGCATTTTGAATATCAATTGAAAAATTTCTCTTTGAAGAACGTTTGAATGTTGATTATTCCCACCACAAATGATTTCGATGTTGTTTATATCAATTATGTGAAATTGAATAATGTAAAAACACTAATGATGATTTTTTTCACCAGTTTTCTCTATAAAAATGACAAAGCATAATTATATTTTAACAAAAAAACAATTTATTTTTAGTTGTATTAAAAAAACCAGTAAGAAGCAGTACTATTTTTTCCTATTAAATGCAGCAAAGAGCATCTAGTAGTAGGAAAAATCAAACAACTGAAAACTATAAATCAATGGTTTAGAAAATACCAAAAATAATAAAAAATAATATTATTTTGACATTTTCTTAACCATTCTCATCTGTAGTTTCTTAGTTAATTAAATATAAAATAATAGTAGGGTACATTTGGGTTTCACCTACATAAGCCTTTTTTTGTTTATGTACATTCATGAAACTATACTTACAATTTTAAAATATACAATATACACATATCTCTAAATATAAACAAAACAATAAATAAAAAAACCTACAGACTGTTAACCCTTGGAGTGCATAATTAAAATTCAGGTGGGTTATTGAAAACTTTCAATTATCCCCTAAAAATGAAATGTAGAATTTGACCATTTTTTAATACTTTTTCAATATCAAAGTCCACTAGTTGTGCTTTTGCTCGTTGATGTGCGCATGTGCAGGAAATTCAAGGATGTGTGAGTATCTCGAATGTTGCACAACGAGGAAAAGTTATTGTGACACTGTGGAGTAAATCCACTAGTCGCAACAAACAGCTGTAAATGTCAAGTCGGATAAATACAATTATAGCATCCAAAGCATTAAATAATGTAAGAAATACACAGATCTGTAATTAAACATAGTTAAATACTTCTACTAATGAAAAAGGTTATCCTTCATGGCCAGAAAAATCGACTGGAGATACAATGTGACAGTGGGAGTTGTTAAAACAATCATCTTATTAGAAGCTGGTAGTGGGTCAACCCTTTTAACACAGTTGTAAGAACACTTCCCTCACACGCAAGAGATCCCAGGATGAATTATGATCTGGATGATGGAATCCATTAAGAGGTTTACTATGGAAGAGGTATTTCAATGATGATGAAAAAGATGATCATGCATAATGATCATAAATAGCATTAAATTTATATCATATAAAAACGTTTTGCAGTAAAATAAATACACTTACTTCAATTTACTAGGACCTTGACCAAAACCTTTGGACTCTAGCTTACGATAAAAATTTCTGAGCTTTGCTTCAAAGTCTCTCCTGTATGGAGCTGGAGCTCTAACATTGGCTCTCTGTAAACCTATATCAAGAACATTACACGGTCAATTATCAACACGTCCTTAAAAAAAGAACAAATTCGATCAGTACATTACTGCAAAATTAAGCTTATATTTGTACATAATGAGTTCACATCCCATTTTACTTTTTCTTTAATAAATTGAAATTTTGAAATTGATGTTTTTAGTTAAGGAGATTACAGAATAAAAGTTACAATTGCTATGATCAAATTTGTCATGTTTGGTGTTCATATCAGATTCATTATGAGCTTCTCTGGTTCTTCATGTCAAATAGTGCACATATCTCTAGATAATTAAAAAAAAAAGCTTCCCTCTGGACATAATATTTGAATATAGTTTCTGCCAGAAAAATGGCAACAAAGAAAAACCTTTTCTCAGTATAAAAAATTTTAACCCACAGAGATTTTGCATGAAATACACAAGCTATATCTATGGAAACTGACAAAATAGAGCATGAAAATGTATAGTTAATGAATTATTAGTGTATGTCACAACTATAAATAAAGATTAATGTAGAAAAAACTTAAATAGGTTACTTCATACCTTTTGGTGAACACCTTTAGTGTAAATAACTATATAGATATTGCACCAAACATGAGATTTTGCATTAACTTGGCAAGATCAACAGGTTGTAACAAATGCCATACATAATGCAGTATGCTTAAAATATTTATTTAACCTTTAGTAGTGTGTGTGTGTGTGTGTATAACTTGCTTCAACAGAATGTTTTCTTAAACTGGAGATACATAAATGACTTAGCCATTTATAATCCATTTCTTTGTAACACTTCTATACCTGAATATTAAAGATACAAGAGTTACACCAAAAATAATAAGTTACTACCAGGATGTGCTAGAAACAAACTTCTCACTATATAGTATTAATAATATCTACCTGCAGGTTTATCAAACAAAATCATTTCCAATTTTTTACCCAAATGTATTTATAACCCATCTAACTGTAAGTAAGTACCACATTATTTCATTGCTTTACTTTATTACCTTTACACACACTCAGTGTTGCATAGAAGCTCACGATCACCCCCACAGTATTCCTGTGAGAGTATATAAAGATAACAGAGTAAAGGTTTAGTTAGAAGCTGTGTATTCACCTAATCTGACAGTGGAATCTACTCTATAAACAGAGCTACAATGTTATTCTACAACCCCAGGAGATACCTATCTAAGAAAACTTATACAAATATTTTAAAGTTTATACTCTGTAAGCCTATTTAACTTGGCTGTCTTGCAGTCAAGGAAGGGAATGAGTTGTTTAAAGTGCATGTCTGAGGTAAAAGACTCACTTAAACAAGTCTTAGTCTTTTGAGAATACAACAATTTAGGCCTACTACCTGGTGATGCTTGTGGTGAAGACTGTGGAGATTCATGAGGTGACCGGTGAGTTCCACTAGTACTTGCTGATGCATTATCACTACCTTGTGCTGGCACATAGGACATTATCTCTTGTTCAAACAAACTGCAGTTGGAAAAAGTGTTAATCTTTTGATATTATTATAATGAAAAAATTACCCACAGATTAAAAAACTACTTTTTTATAGCCACATGACTGAAGTCACTTTTACAAACAAATGTTGATTTAAAAAAAATCAAAAGTAATGAAAAACAATCATTACAAGTAAAAATACCTGTGTAATTGCAACACAAAGTTCTAACAATTTGAATTATTACCCTAATCATGACAATATATATTTATTAGTAGTAATAATAAGTATGCAGAAACTTAATGTCATCATGTGTAACTTGGCAAAAGTTATCAGCAACAATAGAACAATGAAGTGAAAATATTTTAAAGTGTAATCCAAAAAGTGCAAAGACAAGCCTTTTTTTTCCAGCATGCCTTGTTTTTGCACATTTTTGGATTACATTTTCAGTTATATATATAAATTTATGCACAAACTGAATAAAGCACAGAAAAATAAATCAAACTGTCATAAAATACATTCTTTAGTATAACCTTCATAAAACCTTTCCTGTTCTTCCCCAACTCATCTCAACGTTGCTGTTGAACAAATGCTAGAATACTTAGTCAGAAAATCTCTTCCTCTTTAACTGTTACCATTGGAAATTAGACTTAAGGTGTAATACTACCTTAAAATTTAAGTAAATGTAGTTGCAGCATCAAAACGGGTTACTAATTTAACAACTTCTAACTTAAAAATTGAGTAGGCCTTGCAAACTATTCAATCTCATTTAAATAGTGTGAAAGTTCGTATTGTAGTTACATGTAAGTAAAAAAAAAATGATAGAGCTGAATTTAAAAAGTAAACCTATGGACATAATTTATATGAGCATAAAATTAGAATCAATTAACATCATTATGATACAGAGAGGGGAAAATCATGTAATGTCTAAAATGTAAAATAAATCTTCAGCAAACTGACCCTGAAGTTAGAATTACAACTGTTCTTATTCATATTCAGGAGTTATTAATCTAGATATTGTTATTCACATTAGAAAGCTTTTACAAATTCTTTATAGTACAATTTTTATATCACAACCACAAAATTTATAATTTTCCTATACTGAAAATGTATTTGACAGGTACTTCCCTCTTCTCACAAAATTAGCTTTTCCCATTTTGTGCTGCCCTCTATATATGTGTGAAAGTTGTTTTTTATAGCGCATGCCATAAGCCTTCCACACACCCATATTGGAATCAAAGATTCCAACATGTCTTTCATGCAAATCATCATGCATCATCTATCCACCAATAGGAGAGCACTACTATCACATGATGCATGTGACCTCTATGCGCCACTACCGAACCATAAGACGTAAGCACTGGAAGATTGTGGGGAGGAGGGTGGGAAGTGTGAGAAGAAGGAAATACCTATCAGAAATACATTTTCAGTATAGGAAAATTATAACTTCCGATACAGTACTTCCCTCTTCTCACAAGATATTAGCTAGAAACCCACATTGAAAAGGAGGAGGGAGCCAAGGGAAGAACAGACATACGCCCCAAAAACGTCCGAAGGATACTTCTGTAGATGAAGGAAACAGATCAGATAACCAGAGGAGGGGCACCGCACCACTTCTGAACCAGGTATCTCCTCGCCATGAACAGCTAGGAAAAAGAAGGGAGTACATCCAAGTGGGAGAGGATGAGTCAGGAAAATGATCCTAACCAGATAAATATAGAAACTGAATTCCACAGAAGTAAAGTGAGTAATGAAGGATGTGTCCCCTGGTGTAGAATGGCTAGGGCGAGGTGGTTCATACTTGGAAAGTCAACTACATCCAAAACCTCCTTCACTGGGTACTGACGGCCATGTGAGGGTAAGATGACGACCCTACCAGCTTCACATCAAACCACAAAATCGTGGATGTGAGGAAAACACTGACTCCAGGGCATGACACAGGATTAAC